TGGCTGTTTACAGAGACAGTTTGAGAGGCTTTGTTCAGAGGCAGCTGCCCTTCACTGGTGTTTCTGGTAGGATTGTGCATCTTAAGGAATAGGGTTGTCTGTTTGTCGCCAGCACAAAGCTAGTATTTCAGGCCAACGTGCTTTTTAACTAGCTTTATAAGCAAAGCAAATGAGAGCTTCACTTGTTACCAGAATTGCACAGAATTCTTTTTTCCTTTTATGTCATTTTTAGGACAACAAGCAAAGAAACCAAACCACCAAAAAGCTGTGTTTTCTCCAGATAGAAATGTTTACATTTAAAATGATCTCCACAAAAACAAAGTGCACCACAGCAGAAACTAAGCTGAAAAATTCAAGAAGTCCTGTAACATGGCCAGTTTGACTTGCAAACTTCACTTTTTGTGATGGTATTGATCTCTTAGATAGTTCAATCAGGGCAGAAATATTGTACTTTTAACTGATGATGAGGAAGGGCCAGAGTAGATGACTGCTATGATTGCCACAGTCTTTGTTTCTGTTCTTGTTTCTAACCTTAAGGCAACAATAAATGTATTGTATCCTGCATGCCAAACTGGAGTCTTAATAAAATAATTTATTCTTGGTAAACATGGCAGAATTAGGGTTGTATTGAAAGTGGAATCAGGATTAGTGGTATTGAATGCTAGGAATTGAATCCTTTTCCGATCTCCCCAAGGAACAAGTTCACAAGTATTAGAAGCAGTGCATTAAGGGACTAAGGAAGAACTTAAGTGCTTCAGTTTTGAATTAAGTTAGGGTTGTTCTCGTTCCAGTGGGACACATAAGCCAAAAGAGGGTTTTAATTTTTGCGGGTAGTACCTTGAGACCTTGCTGACAAGCAATTTGTATGGTGCTGCTGTCAGAAAGTTATGTTATTTTCCTGTAATGACTCATATATGTCAACTTTACTGCTTGCTCAGCTTGCTACTGAGAGACTCCATGTGCAGATGTGAACCAGCTCCATACATCCATCTGACTAGAGATACTTAGTGGAATTGCTCTGACAGTGGAGCTGCTTTTCTCAGTATTCTCAAGACTGTCTGCAGTAGCAGAGCTTGTTTCGCTGACAGGAAATATCAGCCAAGACTGGAGACATTAGCTTTCCTATGGATACATCTGTGCATGTGGCATTGCTTTAACTTCTGCTTTCTCTCTGCCTCCCTTGCACTGCTTTCCTTTTAGTTGTAACAAGATCTTCACTTTCTTCTTGGGCAGCCACCAGGCATGAGCAGCACTTCTCAGCTTTCCTTATCTGACATTCCTGTTGGCCGTGGCTGCAGGCAGAAAGGAGGCAGGGATAACTTCTGACAGTGGAGAGACCATTGACATGGAACTCTTCTACTTCCCAGTGTACTTACTTTGTGTCCTCCAGAGACTCCTGCAATGCCACGGGAAGCTGTGTGGAAGGCCAGGATCTTGTGTGTGCTTAATACATCATGCAGGGGACCTAAAATGGCAATTCTTGTGTCTAACCCACAAATGCTTCAGTTCTGACTTAAAAGAACTGTTTGTCCAGCCTATTTCCTGCTCTCTCGTTGTTTTCCTTTCACTGACCCAAATTTTTATTTAGCTCTGTGCCACTTCAGTGAAGTTTAAAATAAAATGCATTTTATTTTTGGATTGCGCTACTAGAGGAAGTTTAAAAGTCACTTTAAAAAGCATGGTTTGCAGTTTCAGCATTAATACTCACCTTGATGAGATTTTTGGCTCTGTATTTCATCCCTAGAGTGATCTATATGATGAAGGAAGTAAAAGGATAAATTATAATACTCTAAGAACTCAAGTACTTTGCCAAACACTGTTAATTTTTCTCCTATAGGTAAGCAGTTAATGCATTGCTTCTTAAGTCTTTGAGACAGTTACAGAACAGGAAACTTTAATTATAGGCAAGAATGACCCTGTGGAACTTCTTATCCTTATTGCATTGCTTCTAGTGAGTTATACACAATACTGCAGTGAAATACCAGTGACTCCTCAGAAAGAAATGCATACTTTTCCATCAGCTGTATATACTTAGAGCACCATCTTCAGCTCTGTCATCTGTCAGCACAGTGTTCATGCCAAAAAAAAAAAAAAAGGAGAAAATAAGTGGTGTTTCCAGCAATCCAGAAACCTTAGTAACCAGAGTCTCCTGTCTCATCCTGCTTTTTTGACCACAAAATGTTACTTTTTCTGAGAATATGACCTCTGACACAGCAAGGAGAAATGCTTCACTAGTGAGCAAATGTCTACTGAGATGCCACTCAGTTTTGCAGTATGGGCAAGAAGGGAATGTGTCGGAAGTTCCTGAGGAGATTTTGTGCCCTGAAAAATTAGTCTCAGTCTCAGCTTTGTGGTGTTGGACAAGGGCGGTTTTATGGCTGGAGAAGGTATCCTGCCTGTCCTCCCCAGTGGAAAGGCAGAGGAAGGCTAGGCCAGGCTTGTGTGTGTGCAACACCTACCTCCACTCCGTGCTAAAAATGTTTTTGTCCCTTCCTGTCGCCTGCAGTGGGTCCTGCCTTGTCCCTGCTCTTATCAGCACTGCCTCAAGCTTGCTTTTCTTCTTGGGTTGGTTCAGATACTGCTCTCCTCTCTTAGCTCTGCTCTTCCCCCACTTCCCTGCTGGACGGCAACAGCTGAGGCTGTAAAACCCCAATCTGTGTGAGCAGAAAAAGGCACTGAGCTAAGAGCTTGTGATCACACTCGCTTACCAGTTATGCCAGGAGTTAACGTTCAAAGATATTTGTGTGTTATGAACGCAACCGTCTTGGGGTGAGCTAACAAAACAGTGGAGAGGAAGCGCTGTGGTGTCAGCAAAGTCTCTGGTAGGTGTGAGGGAGGCAGCAGAATGTGAGTTTCTGGTGACAGAGGAGAGCGTGTCTGGCTGCCGCTCGCTCGCTCCACGGCGTGTTTCACAGGCGCTGCCCCGCTCCCCAAGAAGCCGCTTGTAGTTGTTTTGAGAGAAAAGCAAAATGAATACTTTCACTTCTCTGTTAGAGAAATATCTCAGGCAAGTATAAAAGTTGGGCAAAGTAAGTGTTTAGCCTTGATTTTAAGTATTTCTTTTTAGTGGGCCTCAAATCCTGAGGCGCGTGCACACCAAGGTGTTCAAGCCTCGCTGCAGCACCTTGCGCTGTGTTGCACGGTTGTTCCCTGCCTTTCCCGTGGAACTTTTGGATCTGTTGGTCCTTTTTGGGCCGACCCAAACCCGTTGTGTAGCTCTGTGTTCCCAAAGGCAGCCCCGGTGAGGGGAATGCCGGGCTGGCAAAGGCAGGCTGCTCCTGCTGGCGCACAGCTCTGGGGGCTTTGCTCATCAATCATCGAGGGCTCCAACCTGGGAAACTCCACCATGTCCTGAGCTCTTTCTGAGGCAGTGGGAGTTCATGGCACTCAGCTGCTTGAAAAATTAGATCTTCTGAAAGGCAGGGCACGTAAAACATTTGTGCTTTTACCTCACAAAGCTCTGTAGAAGAGGGCATGAAACGTACTATAAATGAAGTATTCAGAGGGGAAAACAAAAATTTCCTGACTTTTTCTTGGCACCAAATGTTTAATCATGACATTTGGTCTTAGAAAATGTACAAACTATCAACATTGCCAATTCATTTTACCCACAAACCCACAACAAAATGATGATGTGCATACAAAGGTTATTTATTTTGAGCACAGACAGGGAATGTGAGTATTCCAAATGCTTCCTTATATCTCCCAATGGGATCTCTTTAATAAGTTGCATAATATTTTTCTGTATTAGAAAATGGTAAGATAGACATGGTGGGTCTCTTCTTTACTTAAATATGCTGGTTATGTTTTCTTTTTCTTCTTTGAATAGTTTGTGAACAGTGTTAAACGGCAAAGCATGACTTCAAAGGCCTTTCTAACAATTTATTCTGAAACTATCAGCCAACAGATGATGTTCCAAGTAAAATAACTAATTATGTGGGAAGTTAGGCAAGCATTGATTTAGTTTTTGCTTTCTTGGACTGGCAGATAATTCTTTAATAGCAAGAACAAGAATACATGACTTACATTTCTGAACTTGAGTCCAGGTAAACCTTCTTCTGAGGACAAGTTGAAACATAACCTGTAACAATATTCTTGGAAAATGCGAAAGCCACTTGGATACTTTCTGTGGACCTTGGCTGACTCTAAGATGCTTCCCATTAGAGATGAAGAACAAGGTTAAAGAAGGATAAGGGAGTGCCGCAATGAAAGTATTTTAGTTCTTTGAAACTTGTGTTAATTTAGAATAGCATTGCTCTTGCAGAATGTAATATGGTATTTATCTGGAATATCAGGCACAGTTTGACAGTAATCATGTTACTAGGAAAAGCCAGTGGGGCTTAGCAGGCCAAACATCATTACTTATATCATCAGCACATGACAAGGTAAGACTCCAAACACATAACTTCAGCATTGAACATGTGGAAACGTGGAGATAAAATTCCTTTCTATGTGCTAGAGCACCAAACCCTTTCTCATTTTGGCAAGAGTGTTAGGAAAAGGGGGGCTCTCTGTGATTACTTGTTTTCTGGTTCCTTTAGTTCTGGTGTAACTTGTGATGATGTTCTTTTTGACTTTTGGCCGCAGGTTTCAATAAATTCTAAAAATCAAAATGTCACTTGCTGTTACATAAATTCTACTTGGGAAAAAAAATCAGGACTTTTGGGGTTTGTACATCAGTTATCTAGGACTGAAGAAAAAACCAAAACAAACCAACCAAACCAAAAAATTTAAATCCTCAAGCTCTCAGTGAAGCTGGTTCTGCTTGTAGCAGTAGGCTTGAGTTAGCAGGGGTTTTATAACATTCTTTGTGAGTACAAGTCATGACAGGACAATATCTTATGTTTGTATGTAACACTTGGGTATCACTGCTAACTTTTGTTCCTGCTTGTCTAGTCACCGTATGCTGGGGTTTTATGTTCGTATTGTACGTGCAGTTTGTGGATTTAATTTTATCATGCAGAACCTGCTTTAAAACGACCTGTGTTTGTCTTTTCTAGGAATAACATGTGTGGAAGTACTTGCTAGTGTTGATCACCTGTACCCCAGCACAAGAGCTCCAGCTTAATCATTTTCAAGCTCTGCTCTCAGAACATGGGGGAGAATGATGATGAAAAATACAGTCAAGCTGGCCGGATATTTGAAAACTTTGTACAAGCATCAACATGCAAAGGCACCATTCAGGCCTTCAATATTCTCACTCGCCAACTTGAATTAGATCCTTTGGACAATAGAAACTTCTACACCAAACTGAAATCGAGAGTGACCACATGGAAAGCCAAAGCTTTGTGGAACAAGCTTGATAAGAGAGCAAGTCACAAAGAGTATAAACGTGGAAAGTCTTGTATGAACACTAAGGTAAATGGAATTCAGTTTTGGATTTCATAGCTTGGGAATTTTTAATCTTGTTTTTCTGCAGAAGCAAGGTTTCTACCATCACATACAGTGTGTCTGTTCAGTAACCCTGCCTTTAATATGCTGAAGCTGGTTATTGACTGTTTTGGACAAATTTTAAGGCGTTTTTCTTCTGGAAGTTCTGTGGAAACTCACAATATATAAGAGTGAGGCTTAAAGTATCCTGTTTTCCTGTCTGTTTCAGACTTTCTGTCCTTTTTATACCTCGTCACCAAACAGGTGTAAGATGCAAACATTTTCAGAAGTAGGCTGCATTCATTACAGACTCTCAAGAACAACTTGCTTTATTAAACAGAGGTTTGCAAGGCACAAACTGTAACATATTCAGCAGGCTCCTCAGCTTTGTGCATGCTGTAAGAGACCAGGGCCAGATGTGTTTCAGCAGCAGTTCCTAAGCTGCTCTCTGAAGGTGCTGCTTGGAGGTCTGGGGATCTGTCTCTGTCACCTGGCATTGGCTCCACTTGCTCTACAACAGCAAAAGACAATCCTGCTGTATTTATGGATTGATGTCCTTTCCTGGTAGTGCATTTTCACAAGCAGAATGTGGGTAATTGCTCTGTGGTAGTTACTGAGGGAGATGGTCTGCTTGGTTGTGGAGAGGACAGGAAATTATCTTTTCACAGAGCATGCACTACATATTTTGATAGAGTGCACCACGGAGCACTCTAAATCTTGCTGACAAAACTGTACAAAATGCTCCTGCCAGTTGTTTCATCTGGCCATCACAGAATATTTCTACTAGCTTTGTCCCAAGAGTAATTCATTCATTTAGTGCCGAGTGATGGCTAAATATTGCCCCAAGAAGGGTAACTTATAAGAAGCTACTTGACTGTATAGAGGTAGAACAGAGAGGAGGGGCATACTGGGGTATAACTAGACACCAAAATATGGAGGGCTTTTGAATTAAAACTACTACTGAAGTGTTCTTTCATGGACTCAGTAGATAGGCAGTGTTGAAAGTCTCTTTCTTCTGGTTTGCATCATTGACGGAAGCTTCTCAAAAGCATGAGTGAGAAGAACACCCAAGTTCCCTTCAGTATTTAACTAGAGGAGAGTCCTCTGGTTTTATTCACTTTTCATAAGCTCTCAGTGATTGTTAATGTTTTTTAAGATCATAAGGGTCCTTATTATAGTTTTATTTAGTAAAGGAGTGTCATCACAGCTATTTGCACTGTGTTCCTGGCAGGCTCTGTTTTTCTCCTCTCCTTTTTCCCTTCATTTCCCTTTTTGACCTGTGCTTCCTCCCTCCCTTTTTGTTCTTTGGAAAAGTCCTTGAACATATGTCATGGAGCATCTTTGTGATGAAAACAGACAGGAAAGGGAAGGAATGAGAAAGTGTCTGATGACTAACAAATTATAGGAAATATTCCACATGCCCCTCACCATACACATACAGCCCCAGGTCCAAATTTCTGTGTTGGTAAGTTTGAGGAAGTGTTTGCAACACAAAAAAGCAGTTTTAAGACCTATGTGAAATGTGAAAACTAAGTCTTCTCTCAAATGGTGACATTGCAAAGCCAAGGCTTTGTTGTGTTAACTTCCTAAGCAAAGTGATTAATATTTATTTTGTGAGAAGACTCGTGGAAATGGGTTTGAACATAAAATATATAGGCTGTGTAATGCTTTACAATGTTGCCAGGAAGGAAGCTAATCAACACCTTCCACAGTGTTGAAAGTATGGTATTACTGCCCCTTGAGAATGAAGATTTATTTTTAGTGGCATGGTGTAAGTATTTGCAGAAATTAATGGACATTTCTATGATGCACATACAACCAACTTGCAAATGGCTATAGAATGTCTGCATGTGAAGAGTGTGGGTATAGCTATTCCGTGAAATACCTGGAGATGTTCATCATGAACCTGGCCCCTGCCCAGACCTGCACTTCAGTGTGTCATCGATGATTTCACGAGAGAAACATGAATCTTCAGATTGCTGGGAATGAGAACAGCAGCCACAGTCAGCGGGCTCGGTGGGGATATCTACCAAACATTCCTGGGGTGTGACTCACAGGCTGCTGCAGAGCCTATCTGTGCCTGTCCCTGCAGGAGGGGAGGCTGCTGTGCTGGGAGAGGAGTGTGGACCCCGAGACCACTGCGGTGGTGGGCTCTGACAGCCCCACTCACAGATAAGGGCTTCTCAGAAATGCTGGCAGCCCAGCCAGTGCAGAGAGGTTAGGCTGCACTATGCACAGCACCCTTGACCTCCAGTGCAACTGGGGATTTCAGCTTTCTGTCTTCTTGTGCTGTGTTTGCAGTGGTGAAACAGGAGCTCCCAGCTGCAACCTGGCAGCCGTGCCCAGCGCTCACCTCCATGGGGCTGCTTGAGGCAGATCTGCCCCGAGTAAAAACCCTGCTTGTTAAAGCAGGATCACAATTTGGGCCATGAGCTAAGTGGAGTTTTGCAGTTGCAGCTCTGTAAACAGAGCCAAGGTTGCTAGTAGGCATAATTTAAAAAAAAATACATGACTTCAAGGCTTTAAATGAGGTTGTGGCCTTGAATGCTGTAGATAGGCCTGCAGCTCATGGTTCTTAGATATGGCTTTGCAATCCTCCTAATCTTTGGAGAAGATAAAGAAGATGCACTTGGTTCTAAATGACTCCTAGGAGGTTTGTTGGTTTGTTTTTTTTTTTTCTTTTCTTTTGTTTTTTTTTGGTTTTGTTTTTTTTTAACAAAATGAAAATCTGCTGCCTCATCCCAAAACTGCTGGTTTTTTGGTGTTTTGTTTTTTTTTGGTTTTGTTTTTTTTTTTTTCTTTTCTTTTGTTTTTTTTTGCGTGGTATTTAAGAGCTGAATGCTGTACTTGTTGGTTTTTGTGCTTGTAAACTCTTCAGCCAGACTTGAGTTACTCATTGCAATATACACAAGTTTTATACATACAGAACGTTCCACTCCAGCTAGATAACAATAATCCTGTGTCTTAACTGCTCTTGAAGAACATTGCCAAATATGGCTTTCAAAGTTTCTGCAATGATACAGTTTTAAGCTGGATGAATAAAAACTGGTTGAGCAATTTTCCAGAAGTTCAAACCCACTGCTATTTCAGAGTTGTTTTCCCTGAATTCTTTGTAGGATAAACAACCTGCCCCAAAATAAAGCCAGAGTGCTGTAGAAAAGACATGAGCAGAACTGGGGCAGAAATGTACTTTCTGAAACTGTAGCAGTCCACCTGTATGAGTGTTAAATCTTCACAAAACATAAACTTCCTTCAATCTTGAACTTCTAAGTTGGGAATGAGTCCTGTTGAAAATTTGTTTCTGAAGCTGGCACCTGCCTAGTTCACCAGCATTAGAGAGAAACACAAGTTTGTACTAACCAGACAAAACTGTAGATATCATACTGTGTTTTTTTGCAAATATGTGTAGGAAAAGAACAATTTTTTTATGCTGACAAAATTTCTCTCTGGTTTGCATCTTCTACTAATTAATGCGGAGGAGCATGATTGTACTCTGAAGTGATTATTTGTTTCTTCGGGGGATGAAGCTGGACAATCAAAGAACATTAAAGGTTTAATGCATATAGTTCCCTATGTTAGCAGTTTGAATATCAGTCTAAATTTTTGAACATGCAAACCATCATGCAATGATGAACAAGAATTTATCCAGCTAGTGTTAGTGTATTCATTAGCCTTTTTAAGACATCTGTGAATGTTGCCTCTCTGTATGGAGCACATTCATCACTTGCACTTGATTTCCATTTGCTTTCAGTTTACCTGTGTAAATGATAGGAGTATGTGCATGCACATAGAAATGAGGCTCCCACTGATGTTTGAGATAGGTATGAATATGTATCGGGGGTAGCACCTGGCTCATGCTGTGTGCCCAAAATTCAGGCTCTCCCGTGCTTCAGGGGAGCAGAAGTTTCTGCACATGGAAACATCCCAAGCTTACTCTGAGAGGGGGTGTTGGTTCTCTGAAGCATGCAAATGTGGCGTGGCCTTCCCCTTCAAAGGTGCATGCTGTTTTTGCAAAATACATGCTTACACTTGAGAACAAAGAAAACTTTGCTTGAAGTGATATCTTGTAATTATCAGCTGCCTTGGTAGACTCTGGCATTTCTCTCTGGGTGTTGGAGTTTTGGGACAAAACTCCTCAGTGGAGGAGGTCTTTGGTCTTCTGAGCATTGTCTATATTTTGGACCCTACCTTGGGCACAGTTCCTGGATGTGAGACTTGTAGAGTCTGAGCTGCTGTTTTGAGGCTGAACAATACTAGCATAAAACAAGGAAATAAAATTAAGCTAAGAAGTTTTGAAAGCTGTGCATTTAAAACCATACATGTGTGCATTTGTAGGTATATGTGTAAATGGAATCGTATAAAAATCCTAAAAACCAAATTCAATGATCTTGAAGTCTATCGTAGAATCATTTAGGTTGGAAAAGGCCTCTGAGTCCAGCTGGTTAACCCAGCACCACTGTGTTCACCACTAAACGTGGTCCTCCGATGCCTCTCTTTTACTCATTCCTGAGCTTGGCCTTTCAGATCTTGTTTTACAATAGATGAGGATTCCTTCCAAAAACTCTTGTTGGGAGGCTTATTGCAAGAGAATGACTCCAAAATTGTTTTTAACCATGTCTCCAGGACTTTCATAGGGATGGAGTGTCTCTTTTTGGTGCTGTCATGTGCTGTCAGTCTGACCAGGACTTGGTGGCATTGGTGTCCCTCCTGCAGAGAGGGCTCCATGGTGGTGCTTTATCCAGCACAGCAGTACAGGGAGCCTGTGGTTTCAGGGGAGCGGGGCCAGGGTGTGAGTCAGCAGAGGAGGAGCCCTGGGTCAGAATTGGGGTTGGAGGTTTTTTTGACTGAACCTGAGCCATGTCTCCCTGTTCTAACCACACTGGTGGTACCCATGAGCAATAAAATGGGGAATGGGCTTTATTTGCAAACCCCTTCCACTCCTTTTCACATTGTCTCCATTTCTGAAGACTGCCAAATGAAGGCCTTGG